GAACAAGCTGCTCTGGCTAAAGCATGGGCAGGCTTATTCGCTGATAGCTTAATATGACAAAAAGTAATGGATGAAAAATGTTTTGCCACTTCCCGGATGTCGTCTCCTAGTAAACCAATCGAAGAACAACTAGAACCGTGCACAATCTCCTCAATAGCTCGGGATGCATCTGTCTCAACCTCCACCGAGGTCCTCCCAAATTCTTTAAGCTAGCTAAGAGCCTCCCGGATCCCAATTAATTTTGCATTCAGCGGTGTAATTCTCCCCGGCCACGGACATGCAACCCCCGCAATAAATTTGCCGCTATCATCCCGTACGCACCAGCCAAGACCACCTCCATTCGCACGGACTGCCGCATCCATGTTCAGCTTCAGACTACCTGCTGCCGGCCTGCACCAAGTGCTGCGTGAGAGTGATTCCCGCTGCCCCTTGTTTAGTCGACTCCACAGTGCTTGAGTCCAACCTTGAACCATGACATTTGCTTGGTTGACAACCTGCTGCGCCGAAGAAGCTTTCCCCTGCCAAACACAACGATTCCGTTCACTTCATCCCAGCACAAGTTTCTCTACATCTTCCTTTCTCCTGGTGCGAAACTCTAAATTAATTTGCTCCATGAAAGATAACTCAGTCGCTCCCGACCAATGCCATGACAAAGCTGTCCATGAATCACCAGCGAATGAGCAGTACCGAAAGATATGCTTCGTCGATTCTCTGGCCTCCCTGCACAGCCCACATGCTCCCGGACAGTCCACCCGACGCCCTTGAAAGTTGTCCCTCGTTGGGAGGCACCCGCTACACACCTGCCAAAAAAAAATAATTTTAGGTGGTAACCGCCACCCCCACATAATCGTCCAATCTAGCCCCCCGAATCGCCCACCTCTACTATCAATCTCCGACAACAACTCCTCACCGAAAAGTGATCACTCTCCTCCCACCTCCAACATAAAGAATTTGGAATTTTTCTCCGGCTCAAAGGAATCCCTTTAATTAATACCACATCTCTTGGTTCAAAAATGTCATCGACCAAGTCGAAATCCCACTCCTGTCGATCAGTTGCAAAAAGATTAGCCACTACCGCTTGACCCAAACCTTCACCTGTCTCCGATAACACCTTCGGATTCCCCTTGTCAGGGAGCCAAGGTTCTTCCCAAATATTGATCGAATGGCCATCACCCACCCTCCAATAATAACCAACACGGATCAGATTCTGTGTCTGAATTAAACTCCGCCAAACAAAAGACGAATTATTTCCCGGACCCGCATTTAAGAAGGTACTTTTAGAATAATATCTAGCCTTATAAACCCGTCCCACCAGAGAATCTGGATTAGTGAAAATCCTCCAAGCTTGCTTCAATAACATGGTTAAATTAAAATCCCCGAGCCTCTTGAAGCCCATACCTCTCGCTTTTTTCGGCAAACAGAGTGAATTCCAATCTTTCCAGCGAATTCCCTTACCGGTTTTACCCTTCCACCAATACTCATTCATAATAACTTCAATCTCACAACATAATTCAACCAGCAACAAAAAAATATTCATCGCATAGGTAGGCAAAGCTTGAACAACTACCTTTAAAAGAACCTCCCTTCTCACTTTAGATAGAAAATTATTGTTCCAATTCTTAATCCGACTAACCACCCTCTGTCGAGATAGTCTAAAATATCTTTTTTACTTCTCCTTATCAAGGCCGGTAACCCCAAATATTTTTCATCTTCCCCTGTCAGCCCCACACCGAGTAAATCCACTAGGCCCTCCCGTTCGCTAACCCCGACATTAGAGCTGAAAAAACTTTTGATTTAGAGAGAATTCCTTAAATAAGAGTAAAAAAGTTTTGAAATTCCAAAATAGGAGTATCATGTTTTTTATTCCTTGAATATGAGTAAATTTCTGCCAAGTTTGGCATTATTAGGCTTTAAAACATGGCATTTTTTTTCAAACTTGGCAGATTACTCCTATTCAGGTAATAAAAAACATGATACTCTTAATTTGGAATTTCAAAACGTTTTTGCTCCTATTTAGAGCAATTTCTATTTGATTTATTAAAATTAATCACCTGACCCGAAGCCCTCTCATAATCCTAAAGTGTCTCCTTGATCAGCATTGGCTCATCATGAGTAGCTCTAAAAAATAATAAACTGTCATCTGCAAAATATAAGTGAGAAATCATAGACGACCCCGAGCAATGGAAATTCCATGTAACCGCCCCATAGACTCATATTTGCGCAAAAGAGCACTTAGACCTTCAGCTACTATTAAAAATAAATAATGAGATAAAGGGTCGCCCTACCTCAAACCTCTCCGAAGCACCGATAACATAATTTCTGTATCATCGAATGGAATGGAGTAAGTAAACAAAAACACACACTCCATGACCAGCCGTATCCATCTCTCATCAAACCCCAAATTCCTCATCATACCCTCCAAAAAAGGCCATTCAATCCGGTCATAGGTCTTACTCATATCTAGCTTAAGTCCCACAAAACCCAATTTCCCCTGCCGTTTACACTTTAGAAAATGTTGAGGCTCAAAAGCTAACATTAAATTATCCACAATATATCTTCCCGGTATAAAAGCACTCTACTGCTCAGATGGACAAAATTGTAGCAAATGTTTCATACGATTAGCTAGCAGTTTTGAAAAATTTTTATAAATCACATTACATAGGGTAATCGGCCGCCAATCTTCTATAGACTCAGGCTTCTCTTTTTTGGAATCAGAACAATATTGGTATGATTAATTCTTTCTGACAACTTACCTGAATCGAAGACCTCCCTGCAAAAATTGATGACATCCGGTCCTACTATATCCCAGAAATGCTAATAAAAACTCGGGCTCATCCCATCAGGTCTAGGGGATTTATCCGGGAACATGTCAAACAAAGCTTTCCTCACTTCTTCACCTTGAATGGGATGTAACAAGTCTAAGTTGTGGCTGCTCTCCACCCTCCTTGGAACACTCCCAAATATGAACTCCTCTCGGCCAGCTCCTGCGGTAAATATTTGATCAAAGTAATCTCCAATTATTTTTCCAATGAACGTCCTCCAGTCTGAATCCCTCTATGAAAATAGCGAGCATTGAGATCCCTCCCAGCAACCAAAATTCCTTGGCACCGTGCACATTATAGCATTGAAGATGCTCTTACGTCTATCTACATATTATCAACGGGGAGAGGAAAGGTAGACCAAGAGATACTCCATAGTTCCTTGCGTATGTTTTTTTATTTTATTTTAACCGCTTTGAAGCGTAAATGCATTATTGCATTGGAGTGCAAATTTTATTTGAACCGTATGTGTGTCCACGTCACCTCTATAGCCCGCAGTTCATATACCGTGAGATCATCCCACGGTGAGCATGGTGCTCCACTCCCAAAACGACGCAACTTTGCACATTTTTTTGAAAATTCGCGTGAACAGTACACGCGTGTACATTAACTTTTTGTCCTAGTAGCATGAATGGTGTAACTCACGAGTAAAGATATGTAACTTACGTTATTGATTAGTGTAATTCAAATGTAACTTGTCAAATACATAGTATTAGAAATACAATATTGATTTCAACGTAAACAATGAAAAAAAGAGTCTAATTTCACAATTGTTTTAGGTAAATCGTGAATATGTTTTGTTTTTAATATCATGACCACAAAAATTAATTATTTAAAAAATAATTTTTTTTTGTTTCAATAACAGAGGTTGATTTTTTAATGTAACTCATGTTATTATAAATGTAACTCGTGTTGATGGAAAATATAACTTAGGTGTATACAGAATGTAACTTGTTGAAAAATTAAATAATTTTTTTTTTGTGTGTTTGAGAATAATATATATGTCATAAACATTGATTTCAATGAAAACAATGAAAAATTGATCCTAATAGCTTAATTATTATTTTTAAATAGTGAATATGTTTTATGTTTAATATTAAGGCTATAAAAATGATATAGCAGGGGTTTATTCTGTGGTGTAACTCACATACATTAAGATGTAACTTGCGTATATTAAGATGTAACTCGCGTACAATAAGATGTAACTCGCGCAGAAGAAGATGTAACTTCATTATATATTACCAAATGTAACTTCAAAATCAAAATAAACAAACTCAATGTCATAAAACCTCTAAAAATATATAAAAGTGATAAAAAAAAGTTATAAAAAGTTTGTCCATATAAAAATATAACAAAAAAGTGTATGAATATAAAAAGTATATTACAAAAAAAAAATATGAATATAAAAATTAATACAAAAACAAAAATAGTGTATGAATATTAATTTCAATATACTTATTTTATTTAGATGAATAAACTTTTTTGTATGCATTGATAAAGGATAAAAAAAATAGAAAAAAATTATGAAATTATGAAATTATGAAATACTACGTACAAATTTATGTGGATTAATAAATTTTTGTAAAAATTATGTAAAGAAAAAATGTAAATTCAATTATATTTTAATTAATTAAAGATAAAGATAAGTAAAATCACAAATAAATTTTTAATATTTTGATGTAAAAGAGAAAAGAATTGAAGAAAATAGAAAGAAATAAAGAAAGAAAGCACTAACTGGATGAAAAAGAAAGAAAGCACTAACTGGAGGAAAAAGAAAGCTTCCGTAATGAGTTTAGGGAGAGGAAAAATGACACCTTGTTAGGACCGGCATACCATACTCATGGTATGTCGGTTGCACGGTATAGTTTGCCTATAGCCCGTCTATATAAGTGACGTATCTATATTTTATGGGGTGCAATCCACTTTGTTATTAAAGATCTCTTAGTTCACAGTTTGGAATTGAGGGGTGAATCTGATTCTCAAAACTGCTTCTGCTCCTTCAGAAAGCAGAATAAGACGTTCAAGTGTTTGGGTGAAAGTGAAGAAGTGATTCTGGTGCTCTTATTTACTTTTAGAATCAGTTTTTTAGAAGCCGGAGGTGGTCGGTTTCTGAAAACTGATTCTGCTTCTACTTTACAAAAGAAGCAGGAGCATAATCAGTTCCAAACACTCCTCAATCTTCAAATCTATTAGACTATGAAAGAGAACGAGTCGTGACTCAGGATCGAGCGGAGAGTATCCGCGACTAGTAAAGTGAAGCAAAACGAAAGGCGATGGATGTGTATTCATGGGTCCGACGCCATCTATCCAGAGAAAAACGGACATCTCTTCCGGCCGGAGGAAAGAGCAAAGTATTCCGTAAAACCGAAGAAGATGACCGACAACTTCACGGCGTCAATGAAACACTAATCGAACTAATCAAATCTTTCTCTGTTGAAACCTTCATAAACTACTCACTTCCTGGTAAATGTACTTGAAATTGTATAAACACATGCATATCTATACGCCTTGTCGTATTTTGCCAAATCTCTGATTGAGTAGCTTTGTACAGATGACGAGGGAGCTGATGGGGAGGGCTATGAAGGACCTTCTCACAACGTTCGAAAGGATCTGTCGGATTGGCAAGAACATCATGCTCTGCTTGTTCTGTCCGAAGTCAAGGTTTTTCTACTTCATTTTCTTATTTGATACTCGTACTACGTATTTGATACTCCTTACTTGCAAATTGCTATGTGTTATTGATCAGAAACTGAATTATCTTGATACTAATTAGCCTTGCGGTTTGAGTTCATTGCTTGAAGGTTAGACCTTGTAAGTTGTAACCTGTGATAAGCCCTAATGCAATTCAGTGTGATATAATCAAATACTTCAAATTCTTATTATGGTTGCATTTGGCATAAATGTTTATTCACAAGTGGTATTTGATGGAGTTTGTCTTTTCACTGTTCATAGCTTTTACTTTGAAGGCACTGCCATCTATCTTAGAAGGAAAAATGTTTCCAGATTTTTCTATTCACTCAACTCTATCTGTCTATCACCTTCCACGGTTTGCCACAAAAGTTGATTTGTTAGTTTCACCTAGAAATACTGGTATATGTTTAGTTCAACCTGGTACTGTTTCGTTATACGGAGTATAATGTATTGAAAGAAGTTTTATTTTAGGTCTCATAATGAACCCATTTCTAATTGCATTCTCATATCCTAATAGCTCAAGGAGTTACTGATCTATACTCTACATGGTATTTGATTTAGCTATTTGTCAAATGCTCACTTTGCTTAAAAGTTAAAACTACTCTGTAAACAAATAATGTCTTTGGCCAAAGATTTTTGTTAAACAAGATGAAAATTTTAAATTTATTTCTTTGTTGCACAAAACTGACCATATCTCTCTGTGCTTTAGTATAGGGGTAAGACTGCGTGCATCCGACCCCCTCTTACCCCACGGAAGGTGTGGGAGTCTTTGCGGCACCGGGGTAATGATGATGACATGTAAAAATATAGTACATGTTTGGTGTAATATGATTTCTTTTGGCACATAATTTTTTGAAACCTGTTTTTTTTATTGTGGGACAAACAAGTACTCTGTACTGTTCAATATGCAAATACGGAGTATGTTTTTCTTTAATCAGCATTTATTGCTAATGTGAATACTGTTATAACAATCCTACAAGGGTCTTTGTTGTTGGTGTGATTTTAGATTTTAATAATGCCCATCTTCAGGAGCTAGCGCAATTGAGATTTGAGTTATGCCCTCGTTATTTGAAGGAACGTCAGTTTTGGAGAATCTATTTTTCACTAGTTAAGAGCTACGTGGCAGAGTAAGTAGTATAGGTTTTTGTCCTTTCCTTTGGATTCTTTCACCTCATTATATAATAATAATTATGATTATCACATGTGATGATTAGATATGAACTGCAAGCGGTGCGCCTAGCAAGATTAAAGCAGATGAGCATTGAGGATGAAAGCATTCCAGATAGTAATACGTATGAAGTTGAGATGTTAGAAACAAAGCAAAGGATACATGACATTTCTTTGGAGGACCAGAAATGACCTGACAATATACAAATCTTATAAGTAGGTAATAGGTTAAGGTTATGGATTTGGTCATAACTTGATGATCACCTTTTGTTAAAACCTTGTCTAGCTTTCTCAAACTGTATCAGGCTTAGGGTGGGTTGATGTCATTCAACATTAGGTTTAGGGTTATTAAATGTATACTATGTTTGGTTAATGTTTGTATGTAAAGTTCAGAATACTAAGGTGTGTTTACCATGTTGAATATTTCACAAGGGTAATGTCGTGAAATACTTTGCACAGTCAATATCAAGCGAAACAATTACTATGGGACAATTTAGAAAAAAACTTCATGCCTTACCTGGCAATACAATTTGATTTTCCATGCAAAGTTAATACATCCTTACACTTTGTGTGTCATCGGCTTACATGTAATATTTTCATATGCAAACTAGCGGCCACCCCCTTTGTATGTTGTTCAAAATATAAGCCTCACGCCTCAGATATGGTATTCAATGTAAAGAAATTTTGATTCTAGTAATACAACCCTTTTCCAGTCTGCTTATAAAACTTCTACCTTTGACTTTCTTGAGAATTAGCCTACATTTTCTAACTTAACATTCCACATTTGTTGATCAGTGAATTTAAACCTAAAACAATGTTAAAGACTTAAAGGCCAATCTGAGGGCTAATAGAAGTCACTACTTTTATTGCTCTTAGTTTATTGCTATACATGTGGTTGAAAAGACCACTCAGTAATAAGGCTTCATTCATCTAACGTTCGTCATAACAATAAGCATTTCATTCAGTCTGAACTCTGAAGTAATAGAACAAATTAACAATAATTACATTGAATTTTTTTTATGATGATGATTTTTTTTTACCACGGGTCAGGGGGGACAAGTTGGGGGAGCCTGGGATAAACAGCGCTGAAACTCCCTCCATGGAGTTTGGAAGGCGAGACCTCCTGTATGGGAGAGTGAGTCGGTGAACAATTGAGTTGGACTGCTTCCTCATAATAATTACATTGAATGTATTGACTAATACTCTCGCAGTTATAAAACTCAAGTAACTAACCTTTTATGCTACCTATATTTAAGTGAGAGAGTAAGAAGCGGCCTTCAAGTGAGAAGTAAGAGCAGCAAACTGGTCGAAAAAAGGCAACAAAAATATTTCAAGTAGTTAGCATATTAATTACTTGCCTTTGAAAGACAAATCAGACATGCCATAAAGGATTTACCAGCTTTGCCAGTCATCTATCTATAGATGTGGACTGTTATAGGAAGGACATGGAAAAAGACAGACTTATTTTCAAGAAAGTGAAAGCTAGGGTTGTTATAAGCAGACAGAAAAGAGGCTGGGTCATTAGAATCAAATTTACCTAATCTAAATTGTAGTTGCCTCTTAAAACCAAAGCTTTTCAATTAAGGAGTTCTTTAAAATCTTTGAATAGTTGGCTTCGTGCTTGCAGAGCATAGGTGGCTATAAGAAGCTGTCTTGCTTCTGCCCTGCTGCATTTGTTATGATATTGGGAAAACAGGTTTTGGTCAAGGGATTGTAATGTCATTACTGTTCTTAATCCCTGACTTTAGCTGTTTCCAAGTTTGATGTAACGCTACAGACTTCTTGCTTTTGGTCCATGTGACACTGAACCCTACTCCTTGTGTGCAACTTTGGATTGATTTGCCCATCATAAATGACCAGTAGAACTATATGTGGCTAAGTAAGTCATAGTTATGCACCAAAAGTGAAAAGAATGGAAGTCGGGGATCAGAAGTTACTGAATTCCTAATCTCCATTACGATGGATGGTTTTTTAGCACAGTTAAACTGCCCTATGCAACAATTTATATCAGATTCATTCAATAATTACAACAAACTGCAAGAGCGTATTTGGCATTTAGCGGTTAGCGCATATCAGATTATGTTAGCGGGTTATCAATAGCGGGTTTAGTCAGTTGGTTTGACTAGTGAAATAAGTTGACGGGTTGCCACAAGATATTTGGTAATTTAGCTACTCGGCCATAACAATTAATAAAAAACTCCATAACTCAAAACGCTGACTCAAAACTCTCCTACTTGTAGCTTTTCCGTCCAAAAACGCAAGGATCGAACATCTATTTACCAAACAGCGTTTTCGGTTATTGAAAACGTTAAAGAGGATCAAACCTCCATTTTTCACTTATTGAGTTCATTTTTAGATGGCAAGGATGGAGAAATGCAGTAAATGATTCTCTGCATGCAGGGCTGATTTTTGTAAGGGTATCTGCAGGGCACAGTTAAAGGGCAACATATTTGAAGAGAATTGCAGGTAACTAGGTAAGTATCAGGCTTTTACTGAGTTTAGACATTTGTGGCAATTTAAAAAGCATCCGATGAGTGAATTGAATGCATATTAAATGCCATTTAAGTACTAATGCTTGTCTATTTTAGATTGGTGCTTTGATTTAATTGTTTGTACTTTGTAGTTTGTACCCTGCTGTTAGGCCGTTAGCACACCATGAGCCCGTTTGGTAACACTAAAATTGGTTGAATTGGATGATTCAGTTGAAATTTATGAAAATTTGGCCGAAATTGCTGTAGTGGCTGATTCTACTGATTCATAAAAAAATTATATTTAAATATTTGTTATTAATATATAAAATAAAAAATTATATGAAAAAATAGCTAAAATAATCCTCTAGAGTAACTTCAGCTAATACAGTCATAAAAGTAACTCCAACCTTACTTTTTCTGCTTATTACATAATTCAGCGCGCGAAACCAAAAATTACGTGTTTCGTGAAAAAGCTGCCTGATAAGCCTGATAAGCCGAAAAAAGAGATCACCAAACGGGCTCCATATATTCAGCTGGATATGCCAGTGGGCGCCAGAAGACAGATGAACAATATATTAAGAGTTGGTTATAAGGTCTACCACCGTTAGAATTGGTTGAGTCACCGTGATTTACAACCTCTCATGTGTGCTCTGTTGGGTCGGGGCGTGGAGGGCCCTTGAGGTTGGGGATTCAACCTTTTGTTGGACAAAATGAAGAGTTGGACTAATCGGGATGTTTTTACTTGGACTGTAATTTGCTGGTCTGGTCTGGTCTGATCTGGTCTGGTTTCTTTGTATTTTTATAATTATCCAAGTCTGGTCTGGTCTGATCTGGTCTGAATTGGTCTGGTCTGATCTGGTCTGGTATGGGATGAATTACCGTCCAAGTAAAAACATTCTCAATCTGATTAGTGAATCAGTTTGTACGTATTGAAAGCTTTACTTTTTGGTAAAGCTTCTGTTTTTGTTAGGTCTTTTATAGAAAGATTCAAAGTAACATTGTGAATATGTTTTGTTGATTTTAGAGAAATCAGTGGAACTTCAGAAGACATGATGAGAAAATGTCTTCAGCGAATAAAAGTGAGGATGACATTTTTTGTACGTATTAGGTGGAAGGTGATTAGTCTAATCGAATTGGAAATTAGGTTTTGTGGTACATTAGGGCATACTGATCTGTCAAACTGTGAACTTCAGTGATCTGTCAAAGGTTCATTGTTCTTTCTTCCTATTTGGTCCTATTCATACAATGATGGTGATGAGTTGATGACTGTTTGGCGGTGCAATAGGATAAAAAGGAGAAAAAGAAGTTGGTAAAGATCCTTAGCTCAATTGGCGCGCAATTGTGTTCTACTTTATGTGCATTATTTTTATGACCAAGTTGTTTGGTTACAAAATTATTTTATGTGCATAATGATTAAGAATCTTTTTAATTGTCTGATTTGATTTATTTAAGGGAGATTTACCTAAGTAGGAGTAAATAAAAGGATAATTACAACAATAAGAGTTTCAAGTTTAAATTCCCAAAATAAGACTAACTCTTCCTATTATACCCTTTCCTTTGTCTTTGATAATAGGATTTTTAAACCATCATTATAAAATATAAAAAAATAAAAATAAAAAAAATAATTAAAAAATATATAGACCGCAACCACCACCTCAGCCACCTTCCAGCACCGTCACCTCCGGTCACCGAAAAAGATTGTCAAGTTGGGGAAAAAATGTCATCATGATGGCAATTTTGAAGAGAAAGCAAGAAAAATCTGGATATTTTCAAAGAGTAAAAATGTCATCTTTATGACATTTTCAAAGAAATGTAGCATTTTTACACAAGATGACATTTCTTTCCGGTGACCGGAGTCGGTGGTGCTGGGAGGTAGAGGACGCGTTGGCAGTGACCTACATATTTTTTTAAATATTTTTTAGGCATTTTATTTTATTTTTTGGACTTTTTTAAAAAACTTTAAGTAATTTTTTTATTTTTTTTATTTTTTTTATTTTTATTTTATTTTTTCACGTGTTCATTATTATTTTATAAATATTTTATTATTTTTTATATTTTTATTATAAATAAAACTATGATTTTCTTATTAATAAAATAAATCTATTGGAAATGATAGGAGGGGGTAGAATGGGAAGAAGAGACATATATTAGTCCTATTTTGGGAATAAAAGGATTGTACTTCTATTGTTGAATTTTGGGCTTATTTTACTCCTACTAAGGGCTAATACCCGTTTATTTAAGCTTGTTATGATCTGATTTGAACTAGTCTAATATGAATTAGTAGATGTTTGTTGTATGTGTATTTTACTATGGTCAAAATCTGCTCTGATCTCGATCAGACTAGGATTGAAATTAGTCCAACTAAAAATATCTTAATTATGATTAGTTAATTAATTTCTTGACCCAATTCATCCGCATCGTGTTGTGTTGCAAAATATTGTCTATGATTTTTAAGATAAAATGGATTGAGTTAACGTTATAATAACAATGACAAACCTGCCTATTTTACTCATAATTTTTACATATCTCTTACGTACACTAAAGATAACAGATTTCTCTATTTTTCTCATCATATCTTTCCCAAATTTCTCTCCTCTGTTTCTTCCTCACACAAAAGAAAAGTATTCTAAATTGACATTAATCTTGATGACCAATAATTTAAAAGGAACTTAACTAATACCTTATTTTCTGCTAACAAACATTATTTTTATATTTTCTTTCAATTTTAAATATGTACCTTCTTGCTCAAACGAATAAGAAAATTAGAGTTGAGGTTATACTCAAAGCTTTCATTAGAAAACCCAAATAACTTGTAAGCATGAAAATGCCACTTTAAATATATTTTCTTAAGGATATGGCATGATTAAATAGTTTTTAATTACCGAAGAATGGGTTGACAGCATTTTCATTTTTTCTTAGATACTCAGTTTCTTAACATAATTTTGGGAAGAATGGTTTGGAGTACATAAGCCTGGTTTGGTAAAAAAGAATGAAAATCCCTAATAAATAAAACCATATGTGTGCCTGGTGCCTACTGCCTAGTATGCAACTTGAAAGTCTATGAATCTATGATTGTGAGTAGTAGCATAATATGATCATATATAT